CTGGACCAGTTCAGTCAGCTAATTTCAGTTTCAGTCCCGGTTTTCAGTTTCAGTGTTATTTTCAGTTAAATTTCCGGGTCAAATTCAGTTCAGTTAATTACTATCAGTTCAGTTCCGTACTTAGCCGATTTCAGTTATATCGATTAAGTCCGAATATCATGTTAAACTCGAGAAAGCATCTTAACCTAATTAATCAGTTATATCTATCAGTCTGAGCATTGCCAATAGTAATTGTTTATATTATTTTCAGTTTGATCAGGCATCAGCACTTTCCATCAGTTCAGTTTTTCAGCAAATTCAGGTGGGGACTCAGACTAAGTATTACATGGTTTGTAATCACGTTACCATGGTCGAGGTATGTATATTCAGGTCCGCTCGGAATGGTCGCCGGTCCATTCTGGGTTCAGGTCTGCTCGGCTTTGCCGGCAGATGTTCAGGTTCAGTTCAGGCGTGACTTTTGGGAGTTGTTCAGTATTTACTGACCCGGTTCGAGTCCAGTACAGTATTTCAGTTAATTTTTCAGTTCAGTCAGTCCAGTACACCGGTATCAGTTCAGTCCGGTTTTTCTTGTCAGTCAAGTAAAGTCCCGAGAATATTCCAGTTAAATATTTAGATCGAGTGGAGCATCTTAACAGTTATTTTCAGTCAGTCTGAGCATAGTACTTAGTATTTGTTTATTTATATAATTTTTACAGAGTGATCAGCAGCAGCACTTACATTATCAGTACAAGTGGGGACTCAGACTGGGTATTACATTGGTTACAATTGCTCTATCATGTTTTAAGGTATGTATATGAGTTATTCCACTCTGGGTAGAGGCGCAGTAGCCTTAATAGGCCATCCCGAGTTCCGGTGGAGGCGCAGTAGCCTTAATAGGCCATCGGAATGTGCACATGGACGGACATATAGTGTCCGAGGAGGTTCAGTTCAGTACAGACCTTGTGTCTGGAGTTTACAGTTTACTTATATATATCTGCAGTCATGATATTGATATTATTATTGATGTTTATTTCAGTATGAGTTTCTGCGGAGTACAGTGTTTGTAGTGCTCACGCTCCCACTGTTATGATTCTTTTCAGAGACAGGGTCGGTCCGGAGGAGTGAGTGGAGCGGGTGGTCGCCGGTCCAGTACATGTAAATATGTTTATATTTTTGCAGACTGTTGATATGTATATATTTGCCACGTTTTACTTCCGCTGACGTTTTCAGACTTTCAAACTAGCGTGTAAATTTTCAGACGACGATCCGAGTTCTCGATTCTAGTTTATACAGTATCACGCGCTTGTTTTATAATGATAATCTGTTTTTCATAAATGTGTTTATAGTTGACAGATTTTTAGAAAAGAAATATTTTATGTAGCATCCCGAGATATGTTTCGCAAAATAAAACGTAAACTTTAGAAAAAGATTTGCAAAAATCGCACTCTGATTTTAGTAAGTTAGTGGGATGTTACAAATTGGTATCAGAGCACATTTTCGTGTATCTGAATACTTTTAAAGTTAGAAATGTTTCAGAAAAGACCCAACCACGCTACGCTCACGCCTCGCCGACTATCAGGTAAGTGCTGAATGTCAGTTTATTAGTATATTTAAATGAATACTTAAGTCTATGCTTAGTAGAGGGTACCAGATTATTAACCCTAGAAACCAGTAAGGTGCTCGAATATTTTCAGAACTTAGTCGATTGTCCCAGTTACTTGATAGTTCGACTTTAGTATTCTCGGGTTAATTGGCGACTCGTCAAGAGATTTGTGTACTTAAGTAATCAGTCAGTTAATCTCCTATGTTATTTAATCATGTTAAACATTTCGATGTTCAGATGCCTCCTCGTAGAGAGCCAGATCACCAGGAACTCCCACAGGCCACAGTGGTCGCCTTGTTTCGCGACTACCATCCAGAAAAGTTTTCCGGCCAAGGAGATCCTCGTGTAGTAGATGAATGGGTTCAGGGTCTCGAGATTATTTTCGAGGTCATGAACTGCCCCGATCGCTATCGTATGTTATGTGCCCAGATCCAGCTGACCGGTGATGCCAGACTCTGGTGGCAAGCCTATTGGAGTATGCGTCCCGGTGAAAAAGACGGTTGTACGTGGGACCAGTTCAAGGAGTTGATCCGAGAAAAGTATTATCCCTCGTATTACCGAGCAGACATGGAGCGCCAGTTCTTGGCACTCACTCAGGGTACTCGTACTGTTGACGAGTACGAACGAGAGTTCACCCGTCTCGGAGCTTTTGTACCAGATCTTGTAAGTACGGAAGCAAAGAGAGCCCACCGTTTCACCGACGGACTCCGCCCAGCAGTCCGCCACAACATCGTAGGCCACGGTGTCCAGACCTACGCCCGCGCAGTTGCCATTGCACAGGAAGTCGATGCCAGTATCCGACGTGAAGCCCTCCAGACACCAGCTCAGCCAGTTGCTCAACCACCAGCCCAGCCCAAAGTTGTCCAACCATCAACCAACAAGAATAAAAGAAAGTTCAAAGGAGGTCCAGATGATCGCAAGAACCGCCAAAGACAGAAGCCAATACCGGAATGCCCAACCTGCGGGAAACACCATCGTGGAGAGTGCCTCGTGGGCCAGAATGTTTGTTTCTTTTGCCGTCAGCCAGGTCACTTCAGCAACAACTGTCCAGAACGACTACAACAACAACCGCAACAACGTCAACAGCCATAGCAACTTCAACAACAGCAGCCCAGGAAGCAACTACCACGACCACAACAACAGCAACGCGGCAGACAGCAGGCTCGCGTCTTTGCAGTTGACCAGAGGGAGGTCGACCGGCATCCAGGTACCATGTCCGGGATGATTATTCTTAATGATGTGCCTGTCTATGCCTTATTTGATACTGGAGCGACCCATTCTTTTATATCACGTCGATGTCTCGAAGCTATTGGGGTTCGTTCCACTACCGCTGTCGATCCTCTCGAGGTAAGTTTAGCCTCGGGAAGGAAGATAGTGACTGACGCTAGAGCCACCGATCTCAGCCTTTCCATCGGCGGCCGTATTCTAATTATTGATACTTATGTTATCGAGATGAGGGATTTTGACCTCATACTCGGTATGGATTGGCTAACTCGATTTCACGTAGATATTCAATGTTATGACTGGGAGATTACTCTTTATCTTTCAGCAGATGATCAGATCACTTATTACGGCTCATGGACTCGTACTCTGCCACATATTATTTCTATGGTGAAAGCCAGAGGATTCTTCGACGGGGTGATTGCCAGGGTTATCTTGTGAGCCTCGTTGGAGATGAGTCGAAGGCATGTTCACCTCATGACATTCCTATCGTTCGTGAGTTTGTGGATGTGTTTCCAGACCAGCTTCCCGGAGGTCCGCCTTGCCGACAGGTGGAATTTTCTATTGATCTTATCCCTGGAGCCGGACCCGTTTCAAAGGCACCATACAAAATGGCGCCTAAAGAATTGCAGGAATTAAAGACCCAAATCCAAGAGTTGCTGAATCTCGGTTTTATACGACCGAGCGTTTCTCCTTGGGGAGCACCAGTCCTTTTCGTCAAGAAGAAGGATGGATCCATGCATATGTGTATCGACTACCGGGATATTAACCGGTTGACGATCAAGAATAAATATCCACTTCCCAGGATCAATGATTTATTTGATCAGTTGAGGGGTGCCTGCGTGTTTTCTAAGATCGATCTGCGTTCAGGCTACCATCAACTGAAAATCAAGGAGTCAGACATACCCAAGACAGCTTTTCGTACGAGATACGGTCACTTCGAGTTCGTGGTTATGCCGTTTGGCCTCTGTAATGCCCCGGCAGTATTCATGGACTTGATGAACCGTGTATTTCATCCTTTTCTCGACCAGTTTGTTATTGTCTTCATCGATGATATTCTTATTTATTCCAAGAGCCAAGAGGAGCACGAGGAGCATCTGAGGGCCGTTCTTTCGACCCTTAGACGAGAGAAGTTATTTGCAAAATTCTCCAAGTGCGAGTTTTGGCTTCAGCGCGTGGCTTTTCTTGGCCACATTATTACTTCTGCAGGTATTGAAGTTGATCCTTCCAAAATAGCTGCAGTCCAGAATTGGTCAGCACCAAAGAATCCATCCGAGGTTCGTAGTTTCCTCGGCCTTGCAGGTTATTATCGCAGATTTACCGAGGGGTTCTCAAAGATTGCACTCCCTTTGTCTCAGATGACGAGGAAGTCTGTAAAGTTTGAGTGGACAAACCGTTGTGAGTCGAGTTTTCAGGAGCTGAAAAGGAGGCTTACGATGGCACCGGTGTTGACTATACCCGATCCTTCTCGGAGTTTCACCATCTATAGTGATGCTTCGAGGTAGGGTTTGGGATGTGTACTTATGCAAGATGGCCAGGTCGTTGCTTATGCGTCACGCCATCTCAAAACACATGAACAGAACTATCCGACGCACGACTTGGAAATAGCTGCAGTTGTTCATGCCCTCAATATTTGGCGACACTATCTATACGGCGGTCAATGCAAAATCTTTACTGATCATAAGAGCTTGCAGTATATCTTTACTCAGAAGGAGCTCAACATGAGGCAGCGCCGTTGGTTAGAGCTCGTCAAAGATTACGATTGTACGATCCAGTACCATCCGGGAAAGGCGAATGTTGTTGCTGATGCCCTAAGCCGCAAGGTGAAGGGTGACTTGACGTACGTTGTTACTCAGCAGAGTCAGTTGATTAATGAATTTGCCCAGATGCAGATCCAGCTAGTTGATGCACTTCCTACAGCCAGTTTGGGGAGTGTGAGTTTTATGCAGGTTCAGTCGACGCTGAGAGAGAGAATCCGACAAGGGAAGGCTTCAGATGAATTCGTTCGTACGATTGATGCCAAGGTTCGTGCCGGAGGCGTCGAGGGTTTTCACCAAGGCACTGATGGGGCCTTGGAGTTTCGTGGCAGGATTGTGGTGCCTAAAGTCGAAGCATTGAGGAAGGAGATTTTATCTGAGGCTCATACTGCACCCTATCTAGCCCATCCAGGAAGCACAAAGATGTACCATGACCTGAAAGGGTCATTTTGGTGGAAAGGATTGAAGAAAGACGTTGCCGACTTTGTAAGAAGATGTTTAACCTGTCAGCAAGTCAAGGCCAAGCATAAGAGTCCGATAGGCCTTCTACGACCACTGCCGATTCCGAGGTGGAAGTGGGAGGAAGTTGCGATGGATTTTGTCACGGGGTTACCAAGGTCGTCTGAACACCACGACGCTATTTGGGTCGTGGTCGACAGATTGACTAAGGTTGCCCACTTCTTGCCAGTATCGATGAGTATGTCTTTGGATCGGTTGGCCGAGATTTACCTCCGTGGGATCGTTCGACTCCATGGAGTACCTGTTACTGTTGTGTCAGACAGAGACCCCAGATTAACTAGTAGATTCTGGAAGAGTTTACACGAAGCAATGGGTACGAAGCTAGCTTTCAGTTCAGCCTACCATCCCGAGACTGATGGACAGACGGAACGGACTATACAGACATTGGAGGATATGTTGCGTGCTTTGACTGTTGACAGGGGTGCTAAATGGGAATCATTGTTGCCGTTCGTAGAATTCGCGTACAACAACAGTTATCATTCTTTTATTCAGATGGCTCCTTATGAAGCACTATACGGTCGTAAATGTCGTTCCCCTCTTTATTGGGACGACGTCGGAGAACGTCGAGTACTCGGTCCGAAGCTGATCGAGGAGACAGTCGAGCAAGTAGAGTTGATCCGGTAGAGACTCAGAACAGCTCAGAGCAGAATGAAATCAACCGCCTGATGGGTCTCCTCCTAGATCTGGAGTGAACCGGTGGAAATAAGCTCCGGTCTGTTCGAATCGTCTCCAAATCGTCCGTGGACCGCAGCGAACACCTACAAGAACTCAACACTGGAAGTGTTTTCCGGTGAAGAGCCTCCGACGCTCAAGTCAGTAAATGAAGAGAGAGAGAGAGAGAGCTCTGCTCAGGGGGAGCAACAGCTGAATATTGAATGAGAATGATCGTTAGGGTTTAGGTTTACCTTAGCTCCTTTATATAGGAGTAGAAGCACTTACTTTGAAGTCCCAAAAATGCCCTGGCCGACTTACATGAAGTACCCAAAATGCCCCGGTCGGTTCGCATTCTGCTTACTCTTGAGTCAGCATCTAGATTCCTTCTTATCCTATATAAGCTTGTACCTAGGGGCCCTCCGTGTGTCGCATCTGCTCATCGAGTCGCTGGAGGTCCCTATAAGTCGACTTATAACCTTGTCGAGTCGATTTGAAGTTATACGAGT